TTATGAAAGTGGATCTTGCTTCGCGTGGGAAGTCGTATATCTCTAGGCAGGGGAGAAAGTGGGGTAGATTTTGTTTCATGTAAAAAACCGTTATACATGGAAAGATGTTCTGCATATTGTATGTGACAAAAACAAGATGTTACTTTTTAAAAACCAATTCGGCGCACTGTTCAAACGACTACATATGTGATATATAAATTCACATAGAAATTATTAAAGCATTTAAGATCTAACTTCAACTGTTATAGGCTTTAATTTTTATTTGTTGCATTATTAAAAAAATTTTTGTGTTAATAACTTTTTAATATATAATGAATGATTTAAACCTGTTAAAGGTCATTCAAAGTCACGATCTTGACAAGACATACATGCCAAGGTCAAGATAATCGGAGGAGCATTTCTTAAAGCAGTGCTGTGATTTTCAACTTGGTTACTGCCCTTTATTTCGCCAACCCGCGCGTAGCGTAAATACCAATGATCGCGGATTGATGAAGTAAAGGGTAAAAATCAAGTTAAAAATAGAACGAAATGTGCAAGTAAATTCCAGCACTGTCCTAAAGTGAACATTTACCCAATTTTGTTCAAAATCATGTATTTTCATACCATCCCAACCAAACGTATAATTAAATTCAAGCATATAATTTATAATAGCAGAGTCCTTTGAAACATCTAGATTTAATTTTTTTTACATTCAGAGACTCTTGTTCTTAATTGTTTCTTCGTTTGGCTCCCGTACGAACGTTCGATACTTCACAATCATTATGTAAAATTTTATAGATTACATTATTTTATAGATTACATTCTGTCGAATCTTTATCTTTATATCTCTTTATAAAAATATTAAATTTATTTAATATTCTGTATCTAATCAAAAATTTGTTTTTATTGATAGCTAAATATATAATTTCTGAAGCATTTTTAAGGTATGGAAAAGCTTTAACCTTTCTTTTGTTATTTTTATTTTTATCATTATATTAGAATTTAAAGCCATTAAATTTTTGTAGAAAATAGCTTTTTTAATTATTCACATCTTATTAAAAGTCAACTCAATTCAGTATCCATTGTTAATAGCATTTTAATCACAAACTAAATTTTTTTGTAGTGTAATGAGTGTAACAAGAAAATAGTCCTATCCACTAAACTGCATGTTGTGTTAATTTTGTGACAAAATGGATGTGATTGAAATAAAATACATATCTTTCGGAATAAAATTCTTTATAGAACCATACGATTCAAAATAATTTTATTATTTGCTATCTTTAAAATTATGTCCTAAATTTGATACAATGTTCTTTTCTACTTCAATTATGAATTGTAATTTAACGTGAAATCTTATGCTTTTCAAGCACATAAGTAGTATGTGGGCAGCCATGTGAGCATCAAAACAAACCCCTTCCACTCCATTCCTGGCGTCAGAGGCGTGGCCTAGTCAGGGCGAATCTGGGAAAATGGCACGCTCTAATTGATTAAATATGAGGAGAGGAGGTAATTAAATAAGGTAATTAAATAGCATGTTTTGATTGATTCACTCTACAGCTGCCAGCGCGTTGATTGGTTTTGCTCCGTAGCGTAAATTTGTTTTGAGAGATAGAGTGATAATATGGAGATAGTGAATTCGACAAAATGGACCAAAATATTTTTCGCCGCAAAAAGAAATTTACGAACAACAAACATGAATATCTAATATATTTATGACCTATCTGTCTTTTTTTTGCGTCTTCAAAGTTTCGAGTTAAGGTACAATTTCACATACTATTAAAGCAATTGGAGCAATATCAAATCTGTCATTGTTGTTATTTTAACGATTGAAATGTAGTTTAAACGGTTTTAACTACAATTAAGCATCAAACACTTAAATGCTATTGACAGTGCTGTCGTATTGTGTCGACCGTATTGACCAGCGTTAACCGCGATTTATGCAGGGTGTCCCGCATTATTGACAAAGCGTGCTTGTGTAGATAGAGCGGACTAAACTGAATAGAAAAATTCTCTACCATTTTGTATTTTTCGCATTAGTTAACGTTATTAAATTACAAAAATAGTCAAATTCGCCTGGTCTACCACTAAATACAAACGCGCAGCGAGATAAGATCGCCTAGAGAGACGTACGTTTTTCGTCACTTGTTTACGCGTTGTTTACAAGCGACATTGGTGTAAGGAGATGATGCGAGCCGGTGGCAAGACGCGCGGTTTGAGGCTAGAATAGAGAACATGTCTGCATCTGACACAGCTAGTGCATCGTGTACTTCTTAAATCTATACAAACCTTACTTTACATGATGCAGAGTTAAATAAATAACCTCATAAATTCAGAGGAAAGAAACACAATAGATTTCAATTCAAAAGAATTCAGACGAACATGTCGACGGATTACAGACGAACAGCGGCGATGTCCACGGTAAGCAACGATGCAAAGAATTGGAAAACATGGTGGACACGCTTTGAGAATTATCTAGTGTCGTTAAAAGTTAACAAGAAAAGCAAAGTGATTCAATGTGCTTAACTTCTCCATTATATCGATGAGAACAGCTTCAAAATATATTCATAAACATTTACGTTTGCGGAAAACGAAAAGAACAAGATTGAAGTATTAATCAAAAAGTTCGGAAACCATTTCCCGCCATTGGAAAATTTTGCGTATAAACGCTACAAATTCTTCTCGTATAAGCAGCAGCCGGGAGAATCCTTGGAACAGTTTATGGTCGAGTTAAAACAACAAGCTAAAAAATGCAAATTTGGCGAATCGAACGATAGCCTCGTCGAATCAATGATAATATGTAAAGTTAGCACATCTATACGAGAAAAGCGACGAATTAATTCTGGAAAAAGTCATCAAATTATGCCATTTTATAGAAATGTCCAAGGAAAGAAGTTAAGCTATACAAAAGTCGACGGCGGCATGCAAGAGCGACAAAAGAATGGACGAAGTCAGCAAGCGGAGAAGTCAACATGGAGGAAATCGATACGGCAATTCAAGTATTAAATAAATTAAAGAAGTGTTGTAAGAAGTGCGGTAGGTCGTATCTTATTAATAAATGTCCGACGTACGTTCAAGTTTGTACAACAACAAAAAAATTATTCCGAAAATCAATGTTTAAAAAAAAAAAGCTGGAATGCGAACAAAAAACACAAGCACTAGTAAAGTAGATGACGTAATAAATGTCCGGCGTACATTCAAATTTGTACAACAAAAAAATTATTCCGAAAATCAATGTTTAAAAAAAAAAAGCTGGAATGCGAACAAAAAACACAAGCACTAGTAAAGTAGATGACGTTGAGAAATGCTCGAGTTTGAATGAGCATTTGTTTGTAGGCTCATTATACGATAATAATAAAAAAAAGTCTTGAGTATTAGGAAGTAAAGATAAATAATAAGATAATTAGTTTTAAGCTGGACACGACAACAATGCTCAATATTCTGCCGTTGCAAATTTTTTAGAGGTTAGGAATCACGAAAAAAACCGTCTAGAACTGACACACGGTTGATGACATACTCAGATGCTCCAAGGTTATTGGTATGTTCAAATTAAAATGCGTGGTGAAAAAAAAAGAATGTGAAATTCTCTTCTATATAGTAGATACAGATAAAAATCTCTTTTAGCTTATAGACTTGAATTTAATTGCGATAATCGATTAGTTGAGAATAAAAACAATGATTACCAGAAAATTATTAATGATAAAGATTTGTTTACCGGGATAGGATGCATCGAAAAACCGAATATCAAATCGAATTAAAACAAGACGCGTAATCGATCATTCATCTTATGCGAAAGTACGTATGCCTAGAAGGGAGGAAATGGGGAGGGAGGGGAGAGAGGAAAGAAGAAAAAAAAAAAGGAAGGAAGCGAGAGAGAGAGAGAGAGAGAGAGAGAAGGAGAGAGAGGGAGGGAGGGAGGGAGAGGGGGTGGGGGAGAGAGAGCATCTTACATTATTAATATAATGAAAAACCGACCAAAGACAAGCGAATAAATTAACATGTTATATGACAGTGATTAAAATTAATGTTTAATGCACACTAGAATTAAGCGAAACTAGTTTCGACTTTATATAGTTTTTATCAGTCGCATAGAAATACAAATTACAAATTTTAATTTAGTTGAGAACACATTAAATAAAATAAAAAGTTACAGAAGTTATAATCACATCCAGCTTTAATTAGGTAGTCCTTAATATCTTACTATCGTTACACAAATGATTGTAATTTGATTGTTCTCTTGATATTATTTGATTAATTAAATTTTAAATTTATACATCAATATTGATAAGGAATGAATCATGTTACAAATTCACCTTAGATATTGTCAAATGGTCATGGAATGGTGTGAATAACCATTGTGAAAATAAATTATGGTTATGAAATAATTTCAATATCATATATAGTGACGTTACTAAGGAATCTACCTCTTGGCTTACGGTCCCCTTCATTCCGTCTCACACAGAAAAATTCAGAACAATTTTTGCGCAAAAATAAAGGCGATATCAGAGTAGCTTTCCACAGCCCCAATAAGATGAGCAAGTACATCAGAGTCCAAAAGGACACTTGTCCTCGTACATTGAAAAATAATATCGTCTATAAAATTTTATGTAATGATTGCGACGCATCTTACGTCGGGCAGACGGGCAGAAAATTAAAAACTAGAATTGCGGAACACCGTAACCATATTAGATATAAAACTTCTACCCGCTCCATCATTACCGAGCATAGACTTCTTCATGATCATGATTTTCAATGGGACGACGTTCAAATCCTGGATGAAGAACCTTCTTACAGAAAGCGGCTAATCTCGGAAATGTTGCATATTAAAAAACAAAAAAATAGTCTGAATCTACAAACTGACACCGAAAGTCTTCACAAAGCGTATCTACCGATCATAAACAAAGTATGACTTTCGATTCTGTCGGCCCGTCTCCTCTCCTCTCTCAGTGCGTTGTATTCCGTTTAAGCGAGTGGTCACGTCGTGAGCGACGCCGACATGTCCGGCTCCGGTGTGTGCAGTCTTGCCGGAGTGTTACGGTTTACACATGGTTCACTTTTGCATGTGCGGCGGATCATATTGATTTGTTCAAGTTTGCTGGTAAGTGTGCAATTTTATCGTGATTGCGGTGTTTCTAATTGTTAAAGTCTGTTTTTTCTTACAAGTTCTTTTTCGGTCTTGTCTAGCGATCTGGCTTTGATAATGGACATCTTGATTGCTCAATCGTATTTTTGAGATCCATCTGAATTTTACTTCTTTACGTTTTATGTTAATTGCGACATGAATTGTTTTTTATTTATTGTTTTATTTTATCACACTTTATATCTGAAGAGGGCTCAATCTCGTAGCCGAAACTTGTTATGGTTTTTATACATTTTTATACATTTATACATCTATATGCGCTGTTCCGTATCTATTCATGTATCTTCGCCTAATATTTTTAACTAATTAAATGTTTTTTAACCTAATGACTCTTCTTTCGCCGTTTAATTTGTTTGTTTATTTATGTAATTTCAATATCGCTACATAAAATTAAATTCATAAAAAAAAAGAGATTATAAAGACAAACTTATAATAATATATAGATAATCATTGTTTACTTCTGATTCTGACAACGCTTGAGAAAATGACAATAAAAATAAATTGTGACACCTGAGAAGGACCTGAAATGTAACGACCTAAATGTAATAAGGAAATGTAATAAGGTAATGTAATAAGGAATGACATAAAATATGTAAACAATCGATAATCGTTATTATAAATCCTATCAAAGATGTTAAAATACGAAAATGCATATATACATGCAGTATCTTCATTAATCATTAAACTTTATTTATTATTAAATTAATTCATTAAACGGGAATTAATCCCGTTTTTTTGAACTTTGATATGAATTATTTTGGATATTAATCTTTTCTGTATCAAGAATTTTGATATTATTCCAATCGAACATATAATATAATTAAATTCCAACATATGATTAGTAATGACAGAATGTTTAGATATATCTTGATTTAAATTCTTTCTATGTTCCAAGACTCTAGGATAAACTTCCAAAAACGTCAAATCTTCGATTTTTATAAAATTTCGCAGAAACATTAATGGAACATAAATGACGTCAAATAAATGTTTTTAAATAGATTTTCACCTATAAGAAGATTTAATGCCAAAATATTTAAGTAAAATTACGTATCACCTGAATAGATTATCTTTACATAACTCACTCTAAATTACTTCCGAAAGATTTTGATATTGATCTTGACCTCCAAGAAGAT